ACTGAGGGAGATTTGACTGAAATTTGGGCGGGGAGCAGCCAAGAGCAGCCCGGGGCTGTTTGGGAAGGGGCTGCTTGTCCTTGTCCTGCCTGGCCACGGCTCTGAAGGGGGCTGGAAACGTCTCAGGGGGCGGCCAGCACAGATTTGGGGAGCAAAGCAAACCCCTGTGCACCCCCCACCCCATTGCCCCCCAGCAGTGACCCTGGGGGAGGACGGGCGTGATGGGGAAACTGAGGCACGGCAGCTGAGGGGGCTCGAGCAGCGCCCACAGCGGGGTGGCCCCCGTGCCACCCCAAAACCTGGTGGCACAAGGAGACATTCCCCTGTCCCCAAGCCCAGCCACGACCCCCGGGGGTGCCCCGGCTCCGGGAGAACGGGCTGGGGGCGCCGGGGGATGAAACCCCGCCGAGGGCACAGCTCCATCCCAGCCTGGCATCCCGGGAGCTGCACCGGGAGCGGGATCAGCCCCTTCCCCGGCCCCCATCCCGCACATCCCCAGCGCCTCCCGCTCCCACCTGGCTTGGGAATGCCGGCAGCAGAGAAAAGGGGCCGCGGCTGCAGCCTGGCCTTGCCCAGCTCCTCCCGCAGCGCTCCCGGCTCCCGGCGGTGCCAAAGGCTCGGGATAATCTGGTCGTGCACGCCTGGTGCGGGTGGATCGCGGCAGCGTCCCCCCCCCGCCGCTCCCGGGGGATTCGGCAACGCCGGAGCGCCCGGGATGGAGGCAGCTCCCGGCACCCGGCCGGGCTTTGGAATTGGGGTTATCCCGGCTGGGCTCTGGAATTGGGGTTATCCCGGCCGGGTCTGGAACCGGGGTTATCCCGGCCGGGTCTGGAACCGGGGGTATCCCGGCTGGGCTTTGGAATTGGGGTTATCCCGGCTGGGCTCTGGAACCGGGGGTATCCCGGCTGGGCTTTGGAATTGGGGTTATCCCGGCCGGGTCTGGAACCGGGGTTATCCCGGCGGGGCTTTGGAATTGGGGTTATCCCGGCTGGGCTCTGGAACCGGAGTTATCCCGGCTGGGCTTTGGAATTGGGGTTATCCCGGCCGGGCTTTGGAATTGGGGTTATCCCGGCTGGGCTCTGGAACCGGGGGTATCCCGGCGGGGTCTGGAACCGGGGGTATCCCGGCTGGGCTCTGGAATTGGGGTTACCCCGGCGGGGTCTGGAACCAGGGTTATCCCGGCCGGGCTTTGGAATTGGGGTTATCCCGGCTGGGCTTTGGAATTGGGGTTATCCCGGCTGGGCTTTGGAATTGGGGTTATCCCGGCCGGGTCTGGAACCGGGGGTATCCCGGCCGGCTCTGGAACCGGGGTTATCCCGGCCGGGTCTGGAACCGGGGGTATCCCGGCTGGGCTTTGGAATTGGGGTTATCCCGGCCGGGTCTGGAACCGGGGTTATCCCGGCCGGGTCTGGAACCGGGGGTATCCCGGCCGGGCTTTGGAATCGGGGTTATCCCGGCTGGGCTCTGGAAGCGGGGTTATCCTGGCTTCCTCATCCCTGCTAGGATCCCTTTCCTCATCCCTTCCTTCATCCCTTCCCTCATCTCTTCCTCCATCCCCTCCTTCCTCTTTCCTTCATCCCTTCCCTCATCCTCCCCTCATCCCTTTCCCGCTCTGCTCCCCTCTGGATTTTGTGGCTTTTCCCCTTCCCGGTGCTGGAGCAGTTGGAGAGGCCGGGAATGACTCAAAAAGTGAAAAATAAAAGCAGCAGAAGGGAGCAGCTGGGACAGAACATCTGGTGGGTGGAAGGGCAGCGTCATCAATAATCAGAATTATTAATCAGAATTATTGATGAGGGATTAGTGGGGAAGGACAAAAGGCCCGGGACAGCTGGAGCTGATTAAAGCCAAAATAATCCATGGAAAAGCAGAGGTGTGACCCCCACACCTTCGTTCAGGCATTGAAAGTGAAATTGGGGTAAAAGTTGTGGCTTAAAAAAATAAAACAAACAAGGTTTGCACAAAGCAAAGCCCACCAAGGCCTGGCCCAGGGCTCCTCCTTCCCCGGGGGATAAATATAGAATATTTATAGACAGAAAAATCATATCAATATGGATTTAATATCGGGTTAATATTAATATATGGATTTGATATTTTATTAATATTGAATAGGGATTTAAATTTGGATTGAATATTGGATCTTGTGTCTCTGCATCACACCTGGGCTGGGCTGGGCTGGTCCCTCCCCAAAAACCAGGGCTGGAGCCATCCCCTCCTTCCTGAGGGAGAGAATTCCCTGGGGGACAGAGGAGATGAGGGCGAGATAGAGATATAAAATAGTAAAAATATTAAAAACACTATCATTTATATTTAAGATTATATAAGATATATTATACATTATATATATATAATATATAATTATATTATATATTATAATACTATATATATAATATATGATATAATATATATTATATATTATATATTTAATATATAAATAGAATAAATATTATAAATATATGACAGAATAAATACTATTATAAAGATATGATATAGTAGAATATATACATATATATTTAATTTTAAAATATATATACATATAGAAGAGAATCATGGAATGGTTTGGGTTGGTAAGAACCTTAAAGACCATCCAGGGCCACGATTTTATAAATAATAAAAAAAAAAATCATGTCTAATATATATACACAAAGACAAGAGAGTGCATGTGTGTATATATAAAAATATATTTACATATACCGAATTATATATAAAATCAAATCTATATTTTAATCTTTATCAAATTGCAACGGAAAATAAATTCATATTACACATATATGTTTATGGAGATAGGATACAATTTCTAGATCAGATTTATTAATTTTTAGGCGTTATGGGTAACATATAATGTACAGAATACATATATATGCACACATACACGTGCATGCTCACATTTATGTGTATTTATATATATATATAAAAAATATAAATATATATACATAAAATAGGTATAAATATACCAAGTCCCTGCCTTGCGGACGGGTGAGGATTCCCGGGATTTCCCAGGCTGAGCAGGGCAGGGGATTCAGGGGCCACTGATCCCAGGGAAGGCAGCTCCATCCAGGGATTTTGGGGTCCATCCCATGCTCCAGGCAGGAGCAGGCTGTGATTCCAGGGATTTGGGATTCATCCCATGCTCCAGGCAGGAGCAGGCTGTGATTCCATGGATTTGGGGTCCATCCCATTCCCCAGGCAGGAGCAGGCTGTGATTCCAGGGATTTGGGGTGCAGCCCCCCCGGTTTTTGCAGATTAAGGAGCGCTGGGCTCCCCGGGCTCTGCAATATTCACGAGCAGAGCCATCTGTTAACCTGGCATTTCCATAGGCCCGGGATTAAAGCCGGGATTTCCGGCTGGGAGAGCAGCTGGAAAAGTCCCCGTGATCCCAGGGGAGCTGGGCAGGGACGCAGCCCTGCTCCCAGAGCTGATTTAGGGACAGGGACAGGGACAAGGGGCTGGGGCAGGGAGCGGAGCACCAGGAGGGGCCGCGGGAGCTGGGAAGGGGCTCGGGGGGCTCAGGGGGGATTTTTGGCTCTGCCAAGTCCCCGACAGGAGGGGACAGCCGGGGAGGGACCAGGGACAGGAGAGGGAACAGCCCCAGGCTGGGCCAGGGGAGGCTCGGGGTGGAAATTCCTTCCAAGATCCCCAAATCCAGCCTTGGATGGATCCCTGCCTGCTCACTGCCCACACTGGCTCCTGTCCCCAGAGCTCCTGGGGATGTCCCTGCCCTGGGCAGCCCCTTCCAGCTCTTCCATCGAGGAATTTTCCCAAATATCCAACCCGGGGGAACCTGAGTTCCCTCTCCTCCTGTCCCTGTTCATGATTTCCAGGTGAAATTCACAATTTCCCAGGTGAAATTCACCACTTTCCATGGGAAATCCACAATTTTCCAGGTGAAATTCACCACTTTCCCAGGTGAAATTCACAGTTTTCCAGGTGAAATTCACCACCTTCCCAGGAGAAATTCACAATTTCCCAGGTGAAATCCCATTTTTGGTGCCGTCACTTCCTTGCAGCTCTGCTCCTTCCTTGGCAGCCCTGCTGAGCTGTGTGTGCTCCAGCACTGGGATGGGGCAGCTCCAGGGCCCCACTCCTGCTCCAAAAGCCACTTTTCCATTTTTAATGAGCTCTGTCCCTCTCCATTTGACCTGGAGCAGAGCTCAGCCTTCCTCCAGGACCACTCCAGGCCCAAAGGGAAGTGCAGAGCTCCAGAAAAGGTTTTTTTCCTCATCCATAAAAGAATAAATCATTACCTAAAGGATCCACAGGGCTGCTCCAAGGCATTAAAACGGAGCAGGGATCAATAATGGAGAAGGGTTTGCTCACAGGAATGATTTCCCAGATTTCCTGTGCCAAGAGGGAGAAATCCAAGCTGGAAGGGGACACAAAGCACCTGCCCAAAATCTGCTCCCACTCCCTCTCTGGGGTTCTGGGATGGAGGGATCTGGAGGAGACTCAGCCTGGCCCAGGCAAAAATTCAAACCTCAAAAAAAACCCAAAAAACCCAACCAAAAACCCAACACTCAAAGGAAAATCTTAACTCCAAAAAAGAAACCCTAAACCCTCAAAATCCCTCAACTTCCTAAAAAGCCCTAAACCTCCCCAAAACGCTCTCAACTTCAAAAAACCCCCACCCCCAACATCCTAAAAAAACCCAACCTCCCAAAATCCATCAACTTCCTAAAAATAACACAAATCCTTGCCAAAACCCTCACCTTCTTAAAAAATCAACCTCCCAAAAAAATCCAAAAACCCAATCCCTCAGCAAAATAAACCCAAAGAGGCAAAAAAAACCTCAAAGCAAAAAAAATTCCAACCTTCAAAAAACAAAACAAAACAAAAAAATCCAATAAAAAACTCCAATATAAATAACCCCAAAGAAACCAAAACCAGAAAAAAACCAAACCAAACCAAAACCCCAACCCCAAAACAAAATCCAACTCCAAAAATCCCACCCCAAACCAAGTAACCAGCCAAAAAAAACCACCCAAAATGTCAACGTAACACGGACAGTTTTAATGAACAAGGTGTCAGATTTCCACCCAGGTGCATTTTTTGGTGGGAACTTTGGGACAAGCAGAGCTGCAGAAGCCCCCAGACCCCTGTGGAAATGTGCAAAGTGCCCTTGGGCACACACTGAGGTTTTTTTCCTGCCTGCCCAGGGCACAGAGGGATCCCAAAAGGGCAGAGCCCAGCCCAGGCTCCAGAGTTCTTTCACCTGCCCAGGTCAGTGAACTCCAAATTCCACCCAGAATTAGGATTTGGGAAATGCACAGAGCCACCTGCACCAATCTAAATCTTATTTTCAGCAGAAAATAAAGGCCCAGCCTGAAAGCTGGATTATTTCCAAATAAAATCAGCTCTCCACTGCTCCACACTGGGGTTGTTTGAAGAAAGTAAAGCTCAGTTTTATCTTCCAGCCTCTTGGTTTAGAATGAAACCCAAAATCAGAGCTGTGCAAACAGCACTTGACCCCAAACTGCTGCAGAGGGAGTTCTCAGCTCCCTGTTTTCCAGGTTTAAGCTCTCAGCAGTTGACTCTTGCAAGGTTTGTGTCCCAACAGGAGGAAAAATTCGTTGCTGCTTGCTGCTCTATGCATGTTTCTGGAAACAATTCCAACCTGCTGCCTCTTCCAACAACTCCTGAATATGTGGAACTGCAAGAAATGCCCAAAATGTGGCTCTGCTCCCACTCCAGAGCCAGGGAAGTCAGTTTTTAGCTGACTCTTACTGGAGGTGACAACCAAAGCAAACCCAAGGAACTCTCCAGGAAGAGATTGGTTAAATGAAAAACCAACTGGAAAATATTCCTGAGGATTTGGTCCCAATCAGAGCTTCTGGAAAGCACTGACAAACTTGGAAACTTCCTGGTGAACTGTGGTGCCAAAGGGGAGCTGCCTCAACCCCTGGGAAGAGAGAAAAAAACCAGTTAATTCCCTTCAGGAATGGTTTTTTTAAATACAAAAACCATTTCAATATTTAATTGGTAAGGGGTATCATTGATCTGCTCTGCTGCTAAATCCTACAAATCCTGGGATACTCACTGACTCGTGGAAAAAGGTGCAGAGCTGCTTGGCCCAGGGACATCTGCAACAGAGAGAAATTCCCACTCAGTCCCTCCCAGCTGGCCACAGCTGCAGCCACTCCTGCCTCTGCATGACTCAAAAACCCACAGAAATTCAACAGTTTTCCAGATTTACAGGAGAATGATTGGGGGGAACCCCAGGATCTGCAGGTGGCCCTGGGGCAGTTCCCAGTGGGACAATCCAGGATTTATTTCAGGTGGCTCTGGGGTATTTTCTAGGGGGACAATGCCAGGATTTCAGGTGGCTCTAGGGCAGTTCCCAATGGAACAATCCCAGGATTTCAGGGGGCCCTGGGGCAGCTCCCATCCCAGGATTTCAGGTGGCCCTGGGGCAGTCCCAGGGGGACAATCCCAGGATTTCAGGGGATCCTGGGGCAGTCCCAGTGGGACAATCCCAGGATTTATTTCAGGGGGCCCTGGGGTATTTTCTAGGGGGACAATGCCAGGATTTCAGGTGGCTCTAGGGCAGTTCCCAATGGAACAATCCCAGGATTTCAGGGGGCCCTGGGGTATTTTCTAGGGGGACAATGCCAGGATTTCAGGTGGCTCTAGGGCAGTTCCCAATGGAACAATCCCAGGATTTCAGGGGGCCCTGGGGCAGCTCCCATCCCAGGATTTCAGGGGGCCCAGGAGCAGTCCCAGTGGGACAATCCCAGGATTTCAGGGGGCCCTGGGGCAGTCCCAGGGGGACAATCCCAGGATTTCAGGGGGCCCTGGAGCAGTCCCCACTCACTCACAGATGCAGGTTCTCTATGACCACGTTGAGGCTGAAGAGCCCCACAGATTGCATCCTCTTGTGTCTGCAGGTCAGGAAGAGGCACAGGAACTCCCCCACGTACTGGGGGCCAAGGTTCTGCCACCTGAACAACAAAAGCACAAGGGCTGAGGCACTGGAAGTTCACTCAGGGAGCAGGAGCCAATTCCCACATCCACTGGAATCCCATCCAAAGCCAAGCCAGGCACCCCCAGGGATAAGGCTGCCCCTCTCTCCCAGCAAATCCCTGCTCCCCAGAACCATGCTGAGGGAATTTCACCCCAGCTGTGCACCCCTCATCATCCTCTGCTGCATTGCCAAGGCCCCCAGGGCAGGGCTGCACTCACACTCTCAGCACGGTGCCTTCCTCCCGACTCAGGTCCCTCAAAAGCAGGTTGGCAGTGCCACACAGGGTGTGCTCCTCACAGGAAAGCAGGTCCAGCAACAGCCTCAGAGCCCAGAAGTTTTTCTAACATGAGACAAAATATGATTTAACCTCAGTGCTAATCGTTCATTAGAATAAATAAATAAAAGAAAAAAAGAATAAAGATCAAACGAAGTCAAATTAAACGCGGCTAAAACTTTCAGGATGGTGTTTTCAACATCACAGAGATTTTAAACATGATTTGTTTTCATCTCTTAAAACAGGAATCAGTTTCTAGGACTCACCCCAAAAGCCAGGACTATCTCTAAGAAGGAAGTCAAGTGGGGAAGGTCACAACAAAGCATCTGCTGCACTGCTTGCACTGCCAGGATGAGAGAAGCCTCGTGGTGCAGCTACACAAGATACAGAAACAAGGAAAGAAATGGATTTAACAGCTGCTTTCCCTTTATTTATCCACTCAGACCAGCACTGAGTTATGCCAGTTCAGCCAGAGAGTTTGGAGGGCACACAACAAATCCACAAGAACCTTATCAAGAGTTAAAAGCAGGGATTTTATTTCTGGTGCTCTCAAAGTGCTCACATAAAAGTGAAATCTCACACAGGAGCAGAAATAGGGACTCAAAGGGGAAAAAATCCAGCTCAGGAGTCACACCTTTGGAGAATAAACTGAAATTTCCTCCAAAAAAAGTCAAAAAAGAGTAAGGCAGCCCCTTAGATGGCTGCATTGAATATGAATGCTTTTCCTGCTACCTTCAAACAAGTTCCACATACCTGAAACCCTTAATTTAAAAGAAATTTAAAACTTCTGGGCAATTCTGAGTTTTGAGAAGCCCCAGTGTCCTGTCTGAGCCAAACCCTGGGAGAAGTTAGGACACAATCAATTATTCCCAGCACTCCTCCTTTATAAATCCATCAATTTGGACAAGGATAAAGATTTCTCCTGGCCTGAAGATGTGCAGGGCAGAAGAGACCCTCAGTTCTCTACCTCCGTATCTGCTCCAGAATTCAGACTGTGCTAATCTTAAGTTAATCACCCCCAAAAAAATCTTCCAGGCCTCTCTTGAAAGCTTTTCTTAATAACCCAACATTTTTCACTGCTGGGGAGAAATTCCTTTGTTGTCATCACTCACCTGACCAGAGAAAATAGCAGATGGTAAAGAGACATTAACTCCAGACTTGAGATCCTCCAGGAAGTTGCCACTGGCTGCCAGCACATTCTGCAAGGGGACAGAGAGGGACATGGATGGCAGATCCTCCTCAGACAAACCTCAAACCAGAAATGGGGGTTTAATGTGCTTTTCAGTGACTTCTTCAGCATTTCTGCAGAGGATGGTGCCTGTTCCACACCACACTCAAGGGGAATTGAGGCTCTGCAGCACCAACCAAACCCTATCAAAAACTCTTCATTTCTGTAGGGCTGAGATGGAAAAATCACCACAGTCCAAGCCCTGCCATGGCAGGGACACCTGCAGAGGATGGTGCCTGTTCCACACCACACTCAAGGGGAATTGAGGCTCTGCAGCACCAACCAAACCCTATCAAAAACTCTTCATTTCTGCAGAGGATGGTGCCTGTTCCACACCACACTCAAGGGGAATTGAGGCTCTGCAGCACCAACCAAACCCTATCAAAAACTCTTCATTTCTGTAGGGCTGAGATGGAAAAATCACCACAGTCCAAGCCCTGCCATGGCAGGGACACTTCCACTGTCCCAGGGTGCTCCAAGCCCTGTTCCAGCTGGCCCTGGGCACTGTCAGGGATCCAGGGGCAGCCCCAGCTGCTCTGGGCACCTGTGCCAGGGCCTGCCCACCCTCCCAGCCAGGAATTCCTTCCCCATCTCCCATCTGGCTCTGCCCTCTGGCAGTGGGAAGCCATTCCCCCTGTCCAGGTCCTTTCTGGTCTGATCCATCTCACCATGAGCAGAACCAGAACCAGTGCCAGGCCCTGAGCTGGGAGCAGAATGAACCCATTTCCTGCTGCCTTCAACATTCTGAACCCCCACACCCTGCAGAGCCACCCTGGCACAGGAGCACCAGACGAGGCACTGGAAGTTCACTCTGGCATCTGGGAGAAAGAGCAATTCCCACATCCAAAGGAATCTTGTCCAAAGCCAAGCCAGGAGATTCTCCCAGCTCCCAGCACTGTTTGGTACCTCTTGGAAGCCAAGGGGGGGCTCTACCAGGGGTAAGGGAAGCAGGTGCCCCCTCTTTTCCAAAATATTGCTGCTCCCCAAAATCGTGATGAAGGAACTCCAACATTTGGCCTAAAAAACAACAGAACATTTGTGTTACAAAGTGAAATCTGGGCAGAGGGGTGAATTATTCAGAGGAAAAAAGGGGTCAGAGTAAATCTTGCCCTCTCAAGGAGTGGGAACAGGAGAGAAGAGGGAATTTTGGCCTCACTCACATTCCTGCAGAGTGCCTTGCTGCTGTAGAGCAATTTGAGTGCCTGCTTAATTAGCACAGTGTTCCTCAGGGGAGAGCCTGCAGGGATGGAAATGAAAAGAATCAAACCCAGATCCTACACACCCCAGATGACTCCAGAGCAGGAACACCACCAGGATGCTCACTTGGTTCCAGACCTGCTGCTGCAGAGCCAGCAAGTGTCTCCAGCTGTTCTGCACAGGTTTGTGGTGGAACAGAAAAACATCAGCTACAAACCAGAGCTCTGGAAAGCTGCAAAGTCTGGACACAATCCAGGCTGAGCCAGGTGATCCCAGAGGAAGTGTCTGCTGTGGACATCACACCACACTGAGGGATCTCACACTTCCAAGAATTCTGCCAGTAGGGAACAACTCCCAAATAAATCTCTTGTGGCAGAAGACACCCTGAGAAGTGACAAAGCCCAGGACAGATGATGGCAATTATCAGAGGCTGAGCTCGTGATTCTGATGATGAAACATTTCCCATCAGGAGGTTTTCTCCTCAAGGTCATGGCTGAGACATACAGCCAAGTCCCCCACTGACAGTGGAGATCCAAGCCCTGCCATGGCAGGGACACCTCCCACTGTCCCAGGGTGCTCCAAGCCCTGTTCCAGCTGGCCCTGGGCACTGTCAGGGATCCAGGGGCAGCCCCAGCTGCTCTGGGCACCTGTGCCAGGGCCTGCCCACCCTCCCAGCCAGGAATTCCTTCCCCATCTCCCATCTGGCTCTGCCCTCTGGCAGTGGGAAGCCATTCCCCCTGTCCAGGTCCTTTCTGGTCTGATCCATCTCACCATGAGCAGAACCAGAACCAGTGCCAGGCCCTGAGCTGGGAGCAGAATGAACCCATTTCCTGCTGCCTTCAACATTCTGAACCCCCACACCCTGCAGAGCCACCCTGGCACAGGAGCACCAGACGAGGCACTGGAAGTTCACTCTGGCATCTGGGAGAAAGAGCAATTCCCACATCCAAAGGAATCTTGTCCAAAGCCAAGCCAGGAGATTCTCCCAGCTCCCAGCACTGTTTGGTACCTCTTGGAAGCCAAGGGGGGGCTCTACCAGGGGTAAGGGAAGCAGGTGCCCCCTCTTTTCCAAAATATTGCTGCTCCCCAAAATCGTGATGAAGGAACTCCAACATTTGGCCTAAAAAACAACAGAACATTTGTGTTACAAAGTGAAATCTGGGCAGAGGGGTGAATTATTCAGAGGAAAAAAGGGGTCAGAATAAATCTTGCCCTCTCAAGGAGTGGGAACAGGAGAGAAGAGGGAATTCTGGCCTCACTCACATTCCTGCAGAGTGCCTTGCTGCTGTAGAGCAATTTGAGTGCCTGCTTAATTAGCACAGTGTTCCTCAGGGGAGAGCCTGCAGGGATGGAAATGAAAAGAATCAAACCCAGATCCTACACACCCCAGATGACTCCAGAGCAGGAACACCACCAGGATGCTCACTTGGTTCCAGACCTGCTGCTGCAGAGCCAGCAAGTGTCTCCAGCTGTTCTGCACAGGTTTGTGGTGGAACAGAAAAACATCAGCTACAAACCAGAGCTCTGGAAAGCTGCAAAGTCTGGACACAATCCAGGCTGAGCCAGGTGATCCCAGAGGAAGTGTCTGCTGTGGACATCACACCACACTGAGGGATCTCACACTTCCAAGAATTCTGCCAGTAGGGAACAACTCCCAAATAAATCTCTTGTGGCAGAAGACACCCTGAGAAGTGACAAAGCCCAGGACAGATGATGGCAATTATCAGAGGCTGAGCTCGTGATTCTGATGATGAAACATTTCCCATCAGGAGGTTTTCTCCTCAAGGTCATGGCTGAGACATACAGCCAAGTCCCCCACTGACAGTGGAGATGCTGGGAGGGAATGAAGGGCTTTGGATTTTCTTTGAATAGCTCCTCTTGCTTTGCTTTCAGCAGACAATGAGCTGACAAAATGAGTGTTGTAAGTGAAGTGAATAAATCCAAGCTCCAGTACAGTCATCCTTCCTGCCTGCTGTTTTCATGGTTTGGGTTGGAAAGAACCTCAAAGCCCATCCAGTTCCAACCCAACACCTCCCTCTATCCCAGGGTGCTCCAAGCCCTGTCCAACCTGCCTGGGACACTTCCAGGGATGCAGGGGCCTCCCCACCCTCACCCAATTCCCAGCTGGGCTCAGGATGTCACTCCTCTGACTGCCAGTGAAGACCTGGAATGAAATTCCCAGTGAAGGAAGGAAGAAGTGACACTTGCCAGCTGTAACCCACGGCCCTGTGTCCAGCATGTCATTCCCAGAGGGAACACAGCCTGTCCTGAAGATCTTGAGGTAGACCTTGAACTGGCAGGGAGTGATCCTGCAGGCAGAGCAGCAGGCCAGGCTGTTCACAGGGAACAGCAGGGAGTGGGCAGCATCCAGGAAATTCCCAGTTTTGCACAGGTAGAAAGGGATCAGATCCCGAAGGTCTCGGAGCCTGGCAAGAGGAAATGAAGGTTTGGCTTTCATTTGGATGAGGTTTTGGTAGGATTTGGGAGAGATCTACTTGTGCTTGACCATTACAGAAGGGAGGGAAGAGAGGGGAAAATGAACAAGGGAGGAAAAAGAAGGGGAAAAGGAAAGGGAGGAAAAAGAAGGGGAAAAGGAAAGGGAGGAAAAAGAAGGGGAAAAGGAAAGGGGGGAAAGAGAGGGGGAAAAGGAAGGGAGGGAAAATGAAGGGGAAAAGGAAATGGAGGAAAGAGAGGGAAAAGGAAAAGGGGGAAAGCCATTTACCTTTGGTTTTCATTGCATTTCACAGCTCTCAGGTACCGAACAACTTCCCTGTACCTGGGGAGAAAAGAACAAGGTGAGAAGGAAGGGGAAGGAAGTGCAGAACTGTGCACAGGGCAAACATTTCCTACAGTGAAAGAAGCAAACCAGGAGAGCTTCCCACGCAGGAGACATTGCACAGCAGGACAAAAATACAGCTGGAAATAAATTCCTAGAGGTTATTCCCAGATTATCTCAGCTCTGGCAAAATAAAAGCAGAGGTTGCCTTGCAGCTGAATTCTTTAAGTGGACTGGATTCTTTGGAATATTGGATTTTCTGGAGGACAGCCCTCTGAAGACCCAGAACAGACTCTTCTGGCTGCCTTCCACTTGCCAGGCTTTGACAAAGAGGAATTTCTTGGAAAATCAACATGTAAAACCTGCAGAGTTTATGGAGACACAGAAATGAGCCACTCCAGCAATCTTTTTTTGGTCCTGAGGCATTCAAAGGGCTTTGAGAAACTTTAAAAAACTTCTGGCCTTGTTGAGAAGAAAAAAAAAAACCAAAAAAAAACTTACCAAAGGAAGTTTGTTTTGTGTTTCCCCGTTATACCAAATACAGGAGTTTGAAGCAGTCAAAATATAAGAATTGAGTTCACAAAGTGAAAAAGCCAAACCAATCTCACTTCTTTTTCTCCAGCAGTTTCTCCACTCGAGCCTCCACGACAGGGAGTGCTTCCCACAGGTACGTTTTCCTTCCTTTCTGTCTCCTCTGCCCAGTGATGTTCTGGCCTTTTAAAACTGTGGTCAGTATGATCCCAGAGGAAGTGTCTGCTGTGGACATCACACCCCACTGAGGGATCTCACACTTTCAAGAATTCTGCCAGTAGGGAACAACTCCCAAATAAATCTTTTGTGGCAGAAGACACCCTGAGAAGTGACAAAGCCCAGGACAGATGATGGCAATTATCAGAGGCTGAGCTCGTGATTCTGATGATGAAACATTTCCCATCAGGAGGTTTTCTCCTCAAGGTCATGGCTGAGACATAAAGCCAAGTCCCCCACTGACAGTGGAGATGCTGGGAGGGAATGAAGGGCTTTGGATTTTCTTTGAATAGCTCCTCTTGCTTTGCTTTCAGCAGACAATGAGCTGACAAAATGAGTGTTGTAAGTGAAGTGAATAAATCCATGCTCCATCATCCTTCCTGCCTGCTGTTTTCATGGTTTGGGTTGGAAAGAACCTCAAAGCCCATCCAGTTCCAACCCAACACCTCCCTCTATCCCAGGGTGCTCCAAGCCCTGTCCAACCTGCCTGGGACACTTCCAGGGATGCAGGGGCCTCCCCACCCTCACCCAATTCCCAGCTGGGCTCAGGATGTCACTCCTCTGACTGCCAGTGAAGACCTGGAATGAAATTCCCAGTGAAGGAAGGAAGAAGTGACACTTGCCAGCTGTAACCCACGGCCCTGTGTCCAGCATGTCATTCCCAGAGGGAACACAGCCTGTCCTGAAGATCTTGAGGTAGACCTTGAACTGGCAGGGAGTGATCCTGCAGGCAGAGCAGCAGGCCAGGCTGTTCACAGGGAACAGCAGGGAGTGGGCAGCATCCAGGAAATTCCCAGTTTTGCACAGGTAGAAAGGGATCAGATCCCGAAGGTCTCGGAGCCTGGCAAGAGGAAATGAAGGTTTGGCTTTCATTTGGATGAGGTTTTTGTAGGATTTGGGAGAGATCTACTTGTGCTTGACCATTACAGAAGGGAGGGAAGAGAGGGGAAAATGAACAAGGGAGGAAAAAGATGGGGAAAAGGAAAGGGAGGAAAAAGAAGGGGAAAAGGAAAGGGGGGAAAGAGAGGGGGAAAAGGAAGGGAGGGAAAATGAAGGGGAAAAGGAAATGGAGGAAAGAGAGGGAAAAGGAAAAGGGGGAAAGCCATTTACCTTTGGTTTTCATTGCATTTCACAGCTCTCAGGTACCGAACAACTTCCCTGTACCTGGGGAGAAAAGAACAAGGTGAGAAGGAAGGGGAAGGAAGTGCAGAACTGTGCACAGGGCAAACATTTCCTACAGTGAAAGAAGCAAACCAGGAGAGCTTCCCACGCAGGAGACATTGCACAGCAGGACAAAAATACAGCTGGAAATAAATTCCTAGAGGTTATTCCCAGATTATCTCAGCTCTGGCAAAATAAAAGCAGAGGTTGCCTTGCAGCTGAATTCTTTAAGTGGACTGGATTCTTTGGAATATTGGATTTTCTGGAGGACAGCCCTCTGAAGACCCAGAACAGACTCTTCTGGCTGCCTTCCACTTGCCAGGCTTTGACAAAGAGGAATTTCTTGGAAAATCAACATGTAAAACCTGCAGAGTTTATGGAGACACAGAAATGAGCCACTCCAGCAATCTTTTTTTGGTCCTGAGGCATTCAAAGGGCTTTGAGAAACTTTAAAAAACTTCTGGCCTTGTTGAGAAGAAAAAAAAAAACCAAAAAAAAACTTACCAAAGGAAGTTTGTTTTGTGTTTCCCCGTTATACCAAATACAGGAGTTTGAAGCAGTCAAAATATAAGAATTGAGTTCACAAAGTGAAAAAGCCAAACCAATCTCACTTCTTTTTCTCCAGCAGTTTCTCCACTCGAGCCTCCACGACAGGGAGTGCTTCCCACAGGTACGTTTTCCTTCCTTTCTGTCTCCTCTGCCCAGTGATGTTCTGGCCTTTTAAAACTGTGGTCAGTAACACGTGGTCCCAGGGCAAAACATTCAAGCTGGAAGGACAAAAATAAAATAATTTTTAACTGTGTTTTGGTGTACATCATTAATTAGCTCCTTTAATGGTTGAGAAGTTTGATTAATGAAACATTTTGGGGTTTAGAGCTCAGTTCTGAGGGAAAGGAAATAAATTTAGGGAGAACAGCTCAGTCATGGCATCAAACAGGGAAAGCAGCAAATACTGAAATATTCTTCTAAAATGGTCCCACTTTTATTATCAGGGAAAGAACATTCCACAGGCAATGGATCCAAAGTGAATACTCAGAGGCCCAAGAAGTCACCTGTTTGAGAAGGCATAGCAGTGGCAGGGAAGGGAGATGGACTGGAAAAACTCAACAAACTTGTCATACAGAAGTTTTGGGAAGTCACACAGCACCAGCATCCTCTGAAGTCGGGTTACGATCCTGTGATTTGAAAAGAAAAATAATTCAAAAAGGGTATTTTAAAATGAGGTGAGTTACTAACGAGTTGTGTTTTTTAAACATATGGGAAACTGCACAAGTTTGTGGTTTTTTTTTTTTTTTGTTTGGATCTGTATGTGAATTTCTGCTTTAAGTTTTGTAGTGAAGAATGGAATTATTATTGTGCTGTTATTTTTAAAACCAAGGTTCTGTGGGGTTTAAGCTTTAAAACAAAGATCTCCAAGGAATGTGTACAGCAAACACTTCAAACTGTGCTGGGCCTAAGCTCCTGGACCTTCCCTGCTACTGGAACCATTTCTGTATTAATTGATAAGTGGAGATAAAAAAGAAGAGTTTACTCTTCAAAATTTTGGCAGGGAGCTAAAGACAAACTTTTCCCTTTTTTGTTCCAAGTCAGAAATTTAAAAAATCAAGAAGAGCAATTTAAAATGAGAGCTGCTGAAGGATTTGGGTTGTACCTGTCATTAGTTCCAGAGAAGGTGAGAATATAGAACTGGGTTGGAAAGAATTGAATTCTTCACTCATCAACCTTCTGTGGCAGGTGAATTTGGGGGGAAAGGTGAAGGATAGAGCTAAAATGGGAAGTGAATTAAGCCAAGGGAGCTGGGTGTCCTCATTCTCCAGCCTCTGGGGCAGCTTCTCATGCTCCATCCCAGGGGAATCCTGCCAGGCTGTGCTGTGACCTCTCCCAGCCACTATTTACACCTTGGTGGAACAACCACAACCTGCCCTGGACTCCCACTGAACAGGGGATTTGTCACCTGAAACACATTTTAAAGGCCAGCAGAAAGTCTGCAGCCAGCAAGGAAACCAATCTTACCTTTGGAACAGAAATGGGACAGCAATCCTTAGGGAAGCAGTGTGGCCAAGGTTCTGACAGCTCCTGAGCCTGGAAAAAACCAACACTAATTAATGCCTGGCTCCCCTTCCTGCCTTTTCCCCTTCTTTGCGCTCAACTGTTGAGGAAAACACTTTTTAAGGAAAAATCTTGGAAGCTGGCATGCTGAAAAACATTCCTGCAAAGACTGAAACGTGTGCTGAAGTGCAAAAGACAGTGAAAAATTCCCAGGTAACAAATGCAGCCTGCTCCTTGCAAACCTGGATCATTCCTCAGCAGGAACTGCAAGGGAGCTGCTGCTTCAAACCAATCCAGAAATCATTTCCTTCTCTTTTACCATAACCCCTGAATTCAAACCCCAAAATGTTCTGGTTCCACAAAGCTCCTTGTGCTGTTGAGAAGTGTTTTGCTGAGTTGCTGAGTGTAACTTCGAAGTTCTAAGCTCGGTTAAATGCTGTTAAAGTGTTATTCCCCTTAAATCCTTAAGGTTAAGTTTTAAACTAAGCTTAAGCTAGGTGTAAGTGCTGTTTCTTTGTTGAATTGTTAAGCTTAAGGTATAATTTAAAGCACTATTAAGTGGGAGTGCTGTTAAGCTTTTAAGGCCGAGATCCTTTTCATTTTGCTGTTCCTTTTGTCCCACACTGCCCTCGGTGGTTCTCGGTTCGTTTCCTTTTCTGAATGCCTGGATTATGTTGGCTTCTGTTGTTGCTTGTTTTCCTTTCTTGTGCCTAAACTCTCCTGTAAGCACTGGAGCAAATCTTGCCAACCAACTTTGTTGTTTAATATTAAATCTGGCTTTCCCTTGGCAGGGATTTTTAAGTCATCTCAAACTCTCATTCCTGCTTAACTTTTCCCTCTCACATCCAACCTCTTCTTTTCCCCCAAATCCCTCCTGCCCCAAATCCCACTGGTCCTTCAGTGTGTTCATCTTTCTCTTGCTGTGCTGCAGCCCGGGCTGGGATTGTTACACTTTCCTCACCCCTAACAAACAAACCCCCAGGATTCTCTCACTAATTCCCCTCCCACTCTGTGTGGCCAGGTACTTACAGAGCAGGGTCTTTGTGCAGAGCAATCTGTTTGGCTGCTCCCAGCAGCATGACAGCAGCAGCTTTGGGGCTTTCTTGTTCTGCCCGATTTAAAAATCTTGTTACCAGCTCGAAAACATCGCAATACCTGAGAAAGTCAAGTGGGCTGTAAGATCAAGGGTCTGCAACAACTGACTTCCTAAACAAGTGGTAACAGTGGCCATCCCACAGTTTGAGAGCAATCAAGAGCCCGGCCTTGCCTTCAGAGGATCTCCAGCACACTGAGGAGGTGCTGGCACAACCAACACTTGGGGTCTTTTGAAGGTTTGTTATACAGTGAAAAGGTGAAACTCATTCGAAGAAAGAAATTAGTAAAAATATCCCAGAATGGTTTGGGTTGGAAGGAAAAGGAACCTTAAATTCCAATCCCAACACCTTCCACTGTCTCAGGATGCTCCAAGCCCTGTCCAGCCTGGCCCTGGGCACTGCCAGGGATCCAGGGGCAGCCACAGCTCCTCTGGGAATCTGTGCCAGGGCCTTCCCACCCTCCCAGGGAAGGATTCCTTCCCAATATTCCACCTACAGCCAGCCCAAATCCCAGGCCTTAGGTTCCCACTTCCCCAGGTTATAATAATCAGAGATCCTCAGGTGTCCTGCACAGCACAGTTAAAGACACATTTAAGAGGGGTTTTAAACTACAGCCAAATGCAATTTATCTTGCTGACCCTGTAAGTTCTCTCCCCTCTATTTTTGCTGTCTCAGGTACCACAGTTTTGATTACAACTCATCAAATAAATCAAAGCTGCCCTGACAAACCCAAATCTGTTGTCACTTACTTGTACACGACCTCCATGTTCCGTGAGCTGCAGAGATTGCACTGCCCCGGGGGCAATTTTGGCTGGCAGCAGCATTCATGTCGTGGGGAACAGATCCTTTCTCCTGTCAGGTATTTGTTATAGGCTACAGAAAGATCCCTGATGAATTTTTCTAGGAGATCTCCTAAGAGACAAGACAAAAAAAAATTGCACAATGAGTTTTGCATGTTTTTTTTCAAAATCAAAAACGAAAGCTCCCCATGTGAAATTATTTAGGAAATTGTTTGCATCCAGTTTTATTGGTCAGGAATGCTTTGTTGCTTACAGAAGGGAAATTTAGGTGGGATACTGGGAAGGAGTTATTCCCTAGAAGGGTGGGGAGGCCCTGGCACGGGGTGCCCAGAGAAGCTGTGGCTGCCCTGAAGTGTCCAAGGCCAGGCTGGATGGGGTTTGGAGCACCCTGGGATAGTGGGAGGTGTCCCTGCCCAAGGAAAAGGGCTGGAATGAGATCATCTTCCAGCTCCATTCCACCCCAAACCATTCTATGACCCTCCCAGACGGAGGAAAACAGGAATCTGCACCTGCAAACCCTGGTCCAAGCATGGAAAAAGAAAGCAGGCACAGCAATTTATTCCTTAAAAACTCCCCAAGGATTGGAGTGGAGCAGCCAAGCTGCTCCCCAGGGCAGGGCCTGAGCAGCCCCAGATTCTGGGGACAGAGCCGCCTGGACAGGGCCTGAGCAGCCCAAGATTTTGGGGACAGAGCAGCCAGGGCAGAGCCTGAGCAGATCCCTGGGGACAGAGCACTCAGGACAGGGCCTGAGCAGGTCCCTGGGGACAGAGCACTCAGGACAGGGCCTGAGCAGGTCCCTGAGGGGACAGAGGACAGGACCTGAGCAGCCGCAGGACTTTGGAGACAGAGCACTCAGGGCAGAGCCTGAGCAGGTCCCTGGGGACAGAGCACTCAGGACAGGGCCTGAGCAGGTCCCTGAGGGGACAGAGGACACAGGACAGGACCTGAGCAGCCCCAGGTCGCTGGGACAGAGCACCCACCCCCGTGCCGCAGCTCTGTGTCCAGCTCCAGCAGCTCCAGGTTGAAGGTGGCCAGGACTCCAGCCAGGGCAAAGTTCCTCTGTGCCTTCCAGAAGTTGCTCTTGTTGTGGGCATTGCAGTGGCACAGAGAAGGGACTGTCCAGAGCTGGCACTGTGTCAGAAAATACAAAACAGGGAGAGGTTGCTGGATTTTTGTGTTTTCCCCTCAGCACTGAGTGAGGGGCTCCAATTCCTTTTATCCTCCTTGCACCTGAGTAAATATTTTGACAGGCAGCAATTTGATATCATGGCAATAATTTCAAAGAAGTCCCTTATTGATTACCTGCATTGCTGGCACCCTCCCCAGTGGAAACTGGAAACAGAGCCCTGTCTTTGCATGTTCACCCCAACTTTGCCCACAGCTCCAAGTCTTCTGAAATTCACAAAAGGTCCAAGCAAATAAAGCATCCCACACAATTCCCTCCACTCCTAACTCCAGTGGGGACAGTCTAGAAAGCTGGCATTTCTCAATTCATTAAAAAATGTCTGATTTAGTAATCTGGTTTTATGAAATGCACTGTGTGCCCAAAGCAAACAGGACATATAAATAAATGTATGTTTACTCCAACAAATAAACCCCAACAGAACCACACTTTCAGTAGTTATGAGGAGCTGTTAATCAAATTTCCTGTATTATTCTTTTAAAGCCCTTAACTCTTTCCTGGGAGGGTAGAATCACTGACTCCTAATCTATCCTATTTCTTTGCCAGCTTTGATACAGGTACCTTGTTATTGTGCACTGCTTTATGTAACCTGCTTTGCTCTATCCTGTGCAATAAATAACTGTTAAAAGCCCTTTCTCTACTCCCTCCTGTCCATTCAATAAATAACTCATCTGATATTAGACCTGACCTTAAGAACTCGTGAGCCTGAGTGATTTAGGCACAGTCACCTGAGCAGAGCTGCTGCCAAAAATCTGAGCCTAAGGCAGGGCTTGGCTAAAGCTCCCATTTGATGCAGTTTTGTCTCCTGCAGGCTGTGCCCTGCCCTTACCTCAGCAGCCAGTTTGTCACAGATGTAGCAGTAGCACTGGTCACAAATATCTGCATTTTCCCCAAGGGGGAAGCAAGTATCACTCTCTCTCCTCCTGCAAGGTTGAAAACCAGAAGGTTAATTAGGAAAAATCACATCCTTACCCAGCTCTACTGCTGCCTGCAGCTGTTACAAAGGTAAATGTGGAGAAGGGGAGCCCAAAGGGGATTGCCCAGCCCTGGACATACTCAAAGGGGTGCGTGGTGCAGTCGTGTCGGGCGTGAGGCATCACGTTGGCTTGTTTGCAGTAGGTGACCACTAAATCCCCCTCCTCATCCACCAGCTCTTCTGATTTCTTCTCTTGCAGGGAAGACTTCTCTGCAGGAAAGAGAGCACGAGGTGTAAAGCAGCGTTAGAAATTAGTGAGGTTTACTTTTTGAACGCTTTGCAGCACATTTTTTTTTTTGGGGATCTGACAGAATGGCACACAAAACTTCCATGAACTACCAAACCAAATCAAAAAGGAGCCAGCTGACACTGAAAAAGCCCAGTCTGAGCTCAATTTGAAGTATTTGAAAACCACACAGCAGCAACCTTTGAAGCAGTGCCATCAAAGATATCCCAACAAATTGGGGATTTCCTCCTGGTTTTATTCACTTGTGCAGCACAAGGACAGAGTTCAAGCATAACACAGAATTAATTCATTTATTCCCCAAATCTTTCAGGGAACTCCAGCAGCAGCAAGGGAACAGCTCTTACCCTGTGGCTCTACAAACAGGACAGAACTCCCTTGGGTGCTCTCCCCTTCATCATCATCATCATCACTGATCAGGATTACGTTCTCCTCCTCCTCCACCTTTTCTGATGGCCACATGGCCACCAACTTCCAAACTGGAACCACCTGGCAGCCACCAGGGTAACACTGCCTGTCCATTTGTACTTTTAAGGTGTTTCCTTCAACAAGGGAAGAAAAAGACTCCTCTGAGGCCCAAATTCTTCTTCTCTTCTGGGTAAATTACACTAGAGACAGAGACGTTTCATCCTCAGTGCACTCAGCACCTCAAAACCCACTGGAGTTTCCATGCAGAGCTCAGAGACCCCTGAAAATAAGGAGAGAGAAAAAGAAGAAAAAACTTTAAAATAGGAGATGAGCTGTTCTTCTGGTGGGACTGGCTGTAGAATGAGGAGAAGGGGAATGAGTTCCCACTGACAGGGAAGGGTTAGAGGGGATTTTGGGACAAATCCTGGGAGGGTGGGGAGGCCCTGGCAAAGGTTCCCAGGGAAGCTGTGGCTGCTCCTGGATCCCTGGGAGTGCCCAAAGCCAGGCTGGATGTTCCTTGGAGCATCCTGATTGAGTGGAAGGTGTTCCTGCCCACGGCAAGTGGTGGGACTGGACTGGTGGAAATGATGAACATTAAATTTCGGGCCAATGGATGGGAATTGCTTTGGGTTTTGTGTGTATAAATCTGCAAGATGTCTAGCAAAAGCCATCTGTATATGGAATGTTTTCCATGGCACATCCTGACCAGAATAAAGTAAAGCCTGACTCTCTATCACTACGTAGTGCTGGAGGGGTTTTTTATCCTCCCTGAATTTTGCTGTTAAAGATCCTCCCATCCCAAATTGTTCCAGAATTCCACGACAACAACTCCTATTAACAACAATTCAGCTGTCCCTTAACCCAGCCACACCAGGAAAAACTGGAACAATGCTACTGCCTCTCTCCTTCCCCAAACTCCAGTATTCCCCACCTCAATTCCTTCCCAAACTCAAACATCTGCCACCTCATCCCCATTCCCAAACTCCAACATCCCCCATTTTACCCTATTCCCAAACCCCAACATCCCCATTCCCAAACTCTGATATCCCCCATTTCATTCCATTCCCAAACCCCAACATCCCCATTCCCAAACTCCGATATCCCCCATTTCACCCCATTCCCAAACTCCAACATCCCCCATTTCACCCCATTCCCAAACTCCAACATCCCCATTCCCAAACTCCAAGATTCCCCATTTCACTCTATTCTCAAACTCTGATATCTCCCACCTCACCCCATTCCCAAACCCCTACATCCCCCACCTCAACCCCATTCCCAAACTCCAATATCCCCCATTTCACCCCATACCCAAACTCTGATATCCCCCATTTCACCCCATTCCCAAATCCCAACATCCCCCATCTCACCCCATTCCCAAACTCCAACATCCCCCACCTCATCCCTCCCCACAAGTGACGGTGTTACGGCACCAGGGAGGGAAAAATCTCAGCACTGATTCCGAGGGAATTCCTCACTAACAAGAATCACTTAAGGAAAATCTAGGAAGGGTTTTAACTGAAGCAGAACTTGCCCACGGCAGGGGGGTGAATCTGGATGGTCTTTAAAGCAATTTCCTTTAATTTCCAGTCCTCTCCCCTCCCTCCGACACCCCCAACGCCTCACACGCCCCTCGCCCCCCCAGCCCCAACCGCCCCCTCCCAACAACCACACCGCACCCCCCCGACCAACCTCCCCCTAAGCAGCTCGGGTGCCCGCTCAGCCCTTCCAGCCGTGCCGTTCTGCCCGGGATTCCCGGCGTTTTCCCGGGATTCCCGGCGTTTGCTTTCCCGCTCCCGCCGCCCGCCACTCTTTCAAGGCCCGAGCGCTTCCGGGCCGGGCCCCGCGGCCGCTTCCGCCCTCACCGCGCCCCTGAGGGCTGCGGGGCGCAGCCATGTTTGCTGAGGGCACGGGCTGGGGGCTGCCACACGTGAAATAAAAACTCTTTCAGGGAAAAACGTTAAGTAAAACGCTTTATTCTCCGCGAAATCGGCGTCAGCGCAGCGCCCTGCGGGGCTGCCCGCTGTTGTCTCCGTGTCATGGTGTCCTCTGCACACCGAACAAGCTGTGCGGGAAATGCTGCTGGGATGAGCCAGTGTCCAGCGAGAGACACAGCATCCTGCAAAAATCAACTTTATTCGGATAACGGAGAGAGGCCACTGCGCCACACCTCTGTGGGGACACTCTGGGAGTTTTTGGAAGGCACGGCTTCCTTTTATCCGCATTTCCCGACCGCGTTTCCCTGCTCTTTTCCCCCTTGGCCGAGGCAGTAAGGAGGTACAGTCCCAAATACTACATATTCCCCATTTCATATGTATCCCCCCATCACCGTTGTACGACCATTAATACTCGATTTAAACTGACTGGTTGAAGTTCATACTCACAAATCTATCAAGCCTGCACGTTTTGCCCTGACCTTCAAACGGTTTGAGGTTCTTAAATCCTCGCAAGCATTCCTCCGGAACATTAGTGGTTCTTTCAAATTGTGTCGTTATTAAAAACATTAACACCCATTTCTCCTGCAATTACTTAGACCCCCACACCCTTTCCACCAGCGACTAATTCATTTGTTTTCATTAAGTTGCCACATTTAGACCAATTGCTCATGTAATTACTGAGAACCCCCACACCCATTCTGCCAGGACCTGATTGGTTCTTACAGATAATTAGTTACATTTTTCATTAGTGAAGACCACAACACCGCACTCTGCACAGGGGTTGGCCCCACCTCGAGTATTTTGAGCAGTTTTGGTCACCAAAAGACGAGACACTAAGCTATGGGAGAGCATCCAAAGGTGGCACCTTGAGGTGGAGCCGTCGGAGGAGTAGCTGAGGGAATTTGGTCTGTTCAGGGGATTGGGATGAGACCGTCTTGAAGGTGCCTCCAAGCCCAAACCATTCCAGAATTCCATGACAATCACCGTAATTCATAATTGTGATCATTCCATGACAATCACAATAATTCATGATTGTGGTTCTCATTCCATGATAATCACAATAATTCATGAGATGTTCTTGAAGGTGCCTCCGAGCCCAAACCATTCCAGAATTCCATGATAATCACAATAATTCATAAGTGTGATCATTCCATGATAACCACAATAATTCACGAGACAGTCTTGAAGGTGCCTCCCGACCCAACCCATTCCAGATTTCCATGATAATCGCAATAATTCAGATAATCACAATAATTCAGTCCCTTACTCAGAAGCACCCAGCACAGGAGAGAGGAGACCCATTGCAGGATCCTCGCCAGGGAAATGCGACTTTTGGGGATGGTTCTGTGCAGGACTGGATGATCCCTGTGGGGTCCCTTCCAGCTCGGGATATCCCCTGATTCTGTGATTCTGAGCTGTTCCCCTGGCAGCCTTGCTGGACCTGCTCACCTCGAGCCACAGCTGCTGGAGGAGGAGGAGGAGGAGGAGAGGTGTCGCTGCCTTTCCTCACCGCAATCGCCACCTTCTGTCGCGACATCAGCGAGGAAAAGCCGCATCCAGCAGCTGAGCCTTCCCCCAGCAACACTAGATGGTACCAGAGCTCCACACAGGCTCAGCCAGGACTCGACCTCAAAAAAATGGGAATTCTGAACCAGGGAGAGCTGAAGCTGCGATGTCTTAATGTGCTGCTGGCACAGGGAGTAGAGTTTTTTTGTAGGGAAAAAGCCGACGGGACCTGTGAATAAAATAAAGATATTTTTTGGTGTTCAGGGCTACAAGTGCAATGTGTTTGTGGTTAAAAATGTTCAGCAGAGTGATGGTGTTACAGCACCTGGGAGGGAAAGTTTGTGGACCGATTCTGAGGGAGTTTTTCACTAATAAGGATCAGTTAAAGAAAATCTAGGAAGGATTTTAACTTAAGCAGAACCTGCCCAGGGCAAGGGGTTGAAACTGGATGGCCTGTAATGTCCATTCCAACCCAAACCATTCTGGAATTCTATTCCATGGCTACATCTTAAAAATGAAGTGCCCTGATACCTTTAATTCCTGATGTCCTTAATGTTAGGAACTACTTAAACAGCACTCAGAATATGATCACCTTTTCCTTCAAGCAACTGCACACTCTGCCTGAAATATTCATGTGTTAAAAAAAAAAATCCCTCTTCCTGCAAATGAATATTTATTCCATGAATAATCTTTAATGTCTTCGTGGCTTTCAACACATTTGGGCAAAATGTTTCAAGTTTCTCTGCTTACAATGACAAAATCTAAACCTGACACCTAAAGAGGTGGCCTGATTTCAGCGGTGTGGGGCATTTTCTAGAGACATAATTTCCTCCCTCTTGCTGCCTCCTTAGCACGACACGGTTTTAGCAACCTCCAGTAACTCAACACAGCAATTTGGGGGATGAAATGAAGTATGGAGATAGCAGGGAGAAATAACAACACCAGAACTGGCCCTTGGCCAGAAGACTTTTCTCTAAAACTCTGCTCTCATGCAGAAATTCCTGATTCTCTGCCCATGGCAGGGGGTTGGGACTGGATGAGTTTTAAGGTCCCTTCCAACCCAAACCATCCTGTGATTCCATGATTTTGTCAAGTCCTGGGAGATGAAAATGAAGTATGGAGATATAACAACACCAGGGAGAATAGGGAGAAATAACAACACCAGAACTGGCCCTTGGCCAGAAGACTTTTCTCTAAAACTCTGCTCTCATGCAGAAATTCCTGATTCTCTGCCCATGGCAGGGGGTTGGGACTGGATGAGTTTTAAGGTCCCTTCCAACCCAAACCATCCTGTGATTCCATGATTTTGTCAAGTCCTGGGAGATGATCTTATGGCTAAATATGGTCAGGACTTGAGTGCTGTGCCTTGTCCAAGACACAGTGACATCGGTGGTTCCTCTTTCCAGATGAAGAGTTGGCGGCAGCAGCTTATTTTTAGTGGTGTGGGTGTAAAATATTGAATTTCACATCGCCTGAGCTCGGTCTGCTCTGCCCTGGTGGGTTTTGTGCCCAAGATCCAGCCAAGCTCGAGGTCTGGGGCTGACATCATGGGATCAGAGAAGCCTGGAGTGGTTTGGGGTGGAAGGGACCTTAAAGCTCATCCAGTTCCAATCCCAACACCTTCCACTGTCCCTGGTTGTTCCCATCCAACCTGGCCTTGGACACTTGCAGGGATCCAGGGGCAGCCACAGCTTCTCTGGAATCTGTGCCAGAAACATCTGAAAACACAGCTGGAAATGCAAACAGATTTATATATTGGACAGGTGATTCCCACGTCCCTGCTTCCAGGAGACTCTGCAGCTGTTGGGACATCACCTGGCATCCAACCTGGTCTTGGACACTTGCAGGGATCCAGGGGCAGCCACAGCTTCTCTGGAATCTGTGCCAGAAACATCTGAAAACACAGCTGGAAATGCAAACAGATTTATATATTGGACAGGTGATTCCCACGTCCCTGCTTCCAGGAGACTCTGCAGCTGTTGGGACATCACCTGGAGACTTCAGCTCCCTGGGGATGAGCAGCTGAGGGCCAGAGGAGTGGGATTCTACCCTCCAGCTCCTGAAGTCAAAGGGAATTTCTCTCTGACCACAACAGCAAACAGACCATTAAAACATCTGTTCAAAAACCTTTCCACGTCCCATTTTCATTCACTGCTACTTCATTCTGCTGCACAGTTTGTACCTGGTGAAAGGTTTGGGATAGATCAGTGGACTGGAAAAGGCTCTGAGGATTGAAACCTCCAATCCCACCTGGGCAGGTGCTAATCCAGCAGCTGAGCCCACCCCAGGTGACTCCTGTCACGCCTCTTGGGCGTGTTTGGCCCTAAAAAATGATGTTCAGAGCTGGAAATGGAAAAGAGATTCTTAGAACTGAGCTTTTGGGAAAGAGTTGTGGCGTTTTCAAGCTTTCTCCATGGGGTTGTGAGGGCACATCCCCCCTTTTCATCTTTGGGGAGCCCCTCAGCGCTTTGCTGCATGGGACCAGCTCAGGTTTCTGGAGGAAACAGGATTTAGGCGATTCTAATGTGTCTGTGAGGGAATGATGGGCCTTGTTTGTACCCTGGTGTTGCTGAGATGGGAGGAAACCAGCCCAGGTGTCCAAAAAAATCCTGGATTCAGGAGGAGAGTTTGGGATAAGAATGTGCCTCACTGTGCAGGAGAGAAGTGGGAGCAGAGCGAGGAACACGGGTGAAGCTCAGGGTCTGCAGTAGGGGTCTGTTCCACCTAAATTACAAACAAACTGTTACCTGAACCCTGATTTTGAGAGGGAATGAAATTCCTGCAGTGATGGCCCAGTGGTGTTCCCCTCAGAACCTGATCCCAATGTCATTCCTGAATTCTGGTGCCACATTCAACCAACTGGACCACAGTTCCAAATCCCAAAGGTAACACCTTTAATAGATGTTTGTGAGAGAGAAACCCTTCATTTATGCCTTCTCTAAGTTTAATCACAGCCAAAAAACTTCAAATCGAGGAAGAAATGGGACAAACATTCCCAAACCATGGAAAAGCCTTCACACCTATGAGATACCAGAGCGTCCACACAGGAGAAAACCCCCAAAAAGAGGACTCTGGGTGCTGACCAGGCAAGAGCTGCTCTGGGTGAGGTATAAATCCTGGGTTTTTTCCCCCCACGTGGTTTTCCTGGTGTGTAGGAAGGGATAAAAGCCTGAAAGAGCCCCAGTTCAGCCAGCCCTGAGGCACGAATGGACACCAGGCTCCATCCCTTCCAGCACGGACAGGGCTAACACAGATTTTAGTGCTTGAAAGAAAACATTTCGTTCTGCTCTTTCCCCCTGTAATTTCTTTCCTCTCCCAAGACCACATAAAGCAGAAGTGAGACGCTGTGAGGAGGATGGTTCTCTGGGTAGCTCACAACACATGAAA